TTTATTTGTATTGATGGTGCTTTAGCTGCTGGCAAGATGCACATTCTCACGGTCCTTTGCTGTAGCATAAAAAGCGTATCAAAAGAAAAGCGTACTAGGGAAAGGACTTCTTCCAGGACCTACACTTTGTACAGGTGACTTTATGCCCACAATCACCCCCCGGCCAGAACAGAGTATTTACCTCAGACCTCATCTTCGGTGGGAATTTATCGCAACACCTCCAAGAGTAACGCCTTCCCTGTTAGCACAACAGCAAGCGCCAACTCTTGTGCATGATTACAGCACGTGGCGGCTGGACACCAGCTCTGAACTGAAATAAAATGTAATACAATAGAGTTGGTGGTGGGTTCCTTGTGAAATCAACCTTAAATCTTCATTATTCAAAGTATCTTGAAAACAGAAGCCCTGAGGTTTCTTGACCAGCAAGGTGTGATAATTAAAAGACGCTAACTGCAGTCATCACGCAGAGCCAGAAAAAGGAAAAACCCAGCACTGAGCTCCAGTTCCACATCAGGCCCTTCAACCATCCAGTCTCCATCTACTGGCACAAGTCAGTAAAATCCCTTTCAGACGCTTATGTCTTAGAGAGAGGGTAAAAAAACCCCCACACCTCCCCAAACCCTCCAGATAATATAACTTGGGACACCTCAAAGTCTAATTAAAGACTGTTGCCCCTACATCTCCTACCTTTCCCGTGCACCTGGAGCTAGTGCAGCTGCAGACACCCGTATTTGTACACAAGTTTCACTTACAGTTACATGAAATATGTATTTCAGTGCATGAAAAAACTGGATGACACTAGTTTCTAGCATGATCTCTCAACACGGGGGGCCTTTTACCTCCTTTGTTTAACAAGCTGTAGCCAAGTACTAGACCTGGCCTTAATACATGATGGCATGTTAAAAAAAAAAAAATAGCTGTGGTTAAATGAGCATCACGAGACCCTTGGCAGGCTGTGGAAGAGCAAAGCTCAAGCCTGAGTGAACTTTCATGGGAACATTCAACACGTCAGCTGGATGATCCAGGAGAGAAAGAAATCACTTGGCTAGTTTGAGCTACTGGAAGAAGTAAGCTCTGGTTTATGGTACACAACTGGAAGAAGCAAGCGCTGGTTTTTGGTACACAAGTCCTGATCCTGGCAACACCATCCCCAAGCGATTCCTTGGAGCCTTGCCAAGGATGGAAGGTAGTCGTTCCTGCGGGCCTGGCCACCTCTAGGTCCCCAGCATCCCACTCACAGCCACCACCTGTGAAGCACAGAGCTCTCCAGTAACCCGTGTGAAATGGGCAAACTGGTAATAAAAGATCTGTGTGAAAACCACGTCTTGGGGGGCTGAGAAACAGCCAGAGCTCCTAGGGCACGGCATGACAAGGAGAGACCATCCGAGACCAGGCCATGCTCCAGCAAGGCTGCTATCACGCTTGCTGAGTAGCATCAGCTCCTCTGGATTTCTTTCTTCACCTCTGGAAAAGGTTTCCCTGATATTTCACAAGTGCAGAACACGATGCAGGTGCCCTGTGCAGGAGAGTGTGGAATGATGGGGCGAAACCCACTGTCTGCAAACAGTCCAGAAACAACACGGCTCTGCCCAGTAAAGGTTCTCATTGCCCGCAGCAGTCACTGGAGCTGGTCACGACCACCGGGATACAGAATAGAGGAAAAAATAAAAAAAGAAAGAACCTGAGACAGAAGATTATAATGACCCTCCCAGAGGCCAATAAACAACCATATAAGCACTGATGAAAATAAGAACTACAGTGGTATTTATCATCCTGGAAACATATTAATATAAAATGTATTAAAAAAAAGTCTTCTGGGGAATAAAACAGCTTTTGTTTGGTCTTTAAAGCTCATTGTCACACTGAAGGGATATTAAAAACAGTTCCACCCCAATCAGAAACAACCTGCCTACAGCACAGTTTAATGAAAACCCAAACACGACGTTGGCAGACTGACCCCTGATTTGGCTTTCTGCTCAAGTATGTTTCCAACGAGGCATAAGGGACAGAGATCCACAGGCTCTCAGAAGAGAAGCCGCCCCTTTTTGAGAAGGCACAAGATGTCACAGGGGAGGTAGAATCAGTCTCCTTATATATCTCATAAGGACAAAATCTGGGGACTAGTACCTCCAAAACCAGGCCCAATATAAAACAACCAGTCCCCAGACTTCCTAACGTTAAATTAAGCGCTTATTGGAAGAGGAATTTCAAAGCAAAGCCGACCCTGCTGGCAAACAGCAAGCACAAACTGCATCAGCTTGACAGAGCTCTGGTTTTACCTGACGGTGTTCTCAGGGATTATGTTTGAGTTTTAAAATCGGTCTGACAACAAAATACAGTAAAACTCGTTTTGTGTACGTGACATCCAGCACATCGAGCGACATCGCAGCAGCTCCTCCGGTAAGACACAAGAACGTCGCAGGCCGGAAGAAAAGTCAGTTGCTGACTTTTACGTGCACGTACTTAATTATCTGTGTGGATAATCAACAGCAGCCCCAGAATCCGCAGAGATCCCCGCGCCCAGCAGAGTTTACTGCCCAGAAGCGCTACTTCCCTGGAGGGCAACATAACCCCGGTGCTGGAGCCCCCGTCTTCCTGCCCACCCCTGTCGGCAGCAGGACAGTTCTCCAGCCCCAACAACCCTTCCCACCCCAGCTCGAGGCACGGGCAGTCTGTTCACCTCAACCCCATGGAAAAAGTAAATCTTAGGCCTTGACAAGATGCTTCCTTGGCCAACAATGTCCAGAGGTGTCAGGTGTCCTCGGTCATTCCTCCCAGTCCTCCAGTGCCCACTCGGGCATCTTGGAGCAATACTCAAACTCGGCTCCCTTGTAGCGCAAGGCATGGAGGTACATCACCAGCTCCTTGGGAGACGGGTCCCGCCGGCTGATTTTACACTCCACGCACAAAGGGTCCTTCTCTCCTGAACTCTTTTCTCCCGTTTGCCCATCCCGATTCTCACACAAACTGAGGTCTTTATTTTTTTCAAGCGTTTCCAGGTTGGTATCTGAGTTCAGTGGACAAGCTGCTATGTCATTTCTCAAGAGATCCTTAGTGTCTGGCTCAGGCTCCTTAGTGTCCTTGGCAGGGCAGTCCTCACGGACAGGGTCAGCCCGTGCAGACTCTGGGCAGTCACTTGAATTACCAGAGTCTTTATTTTCAGCATTGGAGTTCAAGTCCTCCTCCGAAATACCCAAGATATCCAGGCTTTGTTTGGAACGATGCTCTTCTACTAGCGCCTTGAGGAGTTCTTCATCCGTTTTATCGATCTTGCCACCCCTGCCCCGCTCAGGGCCCCAGGCTTCCATGTTATAGATGGGGTCGTTGACGATGGGATGCCCCAAATACTGCAAATGGACCCGGATCTGGTGCGTGCGGCCCGTACGCGGAAGACACTTGACGACGCTGGTCTTGCCGTTGTAACTGAGTCTCTGGAAGATGGTTTTGCAGCATTTCCCTTTGGGGTCCACGCGGCACACTCCCACTTTGTAAGAAACAACCAGGATGGGCTCTTCGCAGACCACTTCGTGTTCTGGAAACTCCCCCACCACACGACAGACATACTCCTTCTCCAGCTACGGGGAGACACAAGAGGAACTCAGAAAACAGAACAGAACACTGCCTCCGTCCTGATTACAGCCGAGCCTCAGCCTAACTACTCCTCTCTTTCTCTTCAACGAGATACATTTGTAGGCAACATACTGCCCAAATTACAACTGAACAAGAAAGGGAAAAAAGTAAAATCAGCTATTTAAAGCCAAGTTTCTCAGGCTTTCCCCAGCTAGTCGGGAAATCAAGAACACAAGGACCTGGTCTGTTTTCCTCATAGTAAATTCAAGAGCCATCTCTCAGTGACCTTCAGTTTAGAGCCTCGAAGCAAACCCTGGAAGGTAGTACCTTACAGCTACAGTTCTGTTTGGGTCAAGAGCCGCTGGAAAAAAGACTGCTCTCTGTTTTGCAGTCGCAGTCAGTTCCCGCAGCCCCTTTAGGGAAGGTGATCCCTTTCAATCTCCTCTTTCCAAAATCGATTAAATTTTTAGTCAGTCTTTTTCTCTTAATGCCTCTTGTGCTTAACACGGCAAGAACAGTACGGTGACTGCAAGCTGGTTTGTGAACTTGTGCTCGCTTAGACCAAAAATTTGGCTGACTTTGGGCCTAATCTCTTTCAAGAAAAGACCATGCAAGAGACTCCAAACACTACTGCAGCCCTTTGCTCTCACCTGCCTCTCCCGAACCTGCTCGTCGAGCCTCTTGGATACCTCTGCGGTCTTGGCAAACATGAGTACTCCCGAGGTCATGCGATCCAGTCGGTGAATGGTATGCAACTCCTTCAGGTCATGCTCTTTGCCCAGGATGAAGATGACCGTGTTGTGACGAAACCTGCCGCAGGGATGGACTGGCAAAGAGGAGGGTTTGTCCACCACCACCACCTCGTCATTCTCCACCAAGATCTGGATAGGCTGGGCAGTGACCGGCGGCTCGTGGCGATGCACCGTATTCCTGAGAAAATCATTATTCTGCAAGACAGACGGACAACTACCGTGACTCCAGCCTGCGTAACCACCCCACCTGACCACGCACAATGGGGGCTTGATATTGCGGGGGGGAATGAAATCCCCTTTGTCCTGGAACACGAGATCTAGCACTACTCTGCACATCGCCCCTTGAACTCCACACCCTGCCCTGAGCTGTATCTCCGTGCCTCGCCCGCTCTCGGGGGGCTGTGGGGCAGGCACAGGGCTGCAGGGTCTGCATACCCCTGACCCCGCTGGGGTAAGGATTCCCTGGGAGACCCCATGTCCCCTCAAACACCGCCGACTTTAGCACCACCGCGGGGTTATTTCGCCGCGCTCGGCGCGATGCTCATGGCCAGAGCCGAGCTGGGCTCTCCCCACGCCGGGTTACCGGCCCGCCACGCCACGCTCGCTACCAGGACACCTCCAGGGGCACCCAGCCCGGGGTGGAGGGGCGGCAGGGGAGCGCCCACCTTGAGCACGATGTCCAGGTCGCGCACGGGCTCCTCGTTGAGGCGGAGGCGGCCGGCGCGGGCGGCGGCGCGGTAGTAGGCGAGG